AATTAAAGCGGTTCTTTCCCCCCCCCTCCCTGAGTGCTCTGTCGTTTGAACCCTCGGAGGGAAACTGATGAGCAACTGCGCTGGCTTCTCTTTGAAGCCATTTGTTGCCTGTTTTCTTTTAAAGTCTGAAATGTTAGAAAGAGATCATTATTTTTCTTATTTAGCTTGACCTCTTCCTCCCTTGAAGAGTTTCTCCCTTGTACTGGCTCTGTCCTCACACAGTGCTGTGTTGAAATACAGTTCAAGAGAAAACTTGAATTCCTAGAAAAAAGCTTGGTATTTAGAATGAGACATGTCCTAGAACAAACAGTCTGAAACTCTGCAACACGTCCTGTCCCTCTGTGGAGGTGTTGTGAGGTATCAGGTGTCAATCATGCACTGCCTCTGTCTGAGGTGGTTCTGCAACAGCAGTGTTAGGGCAAACGCTTCCATGAGGTGTAAACTACCCCATGGGTTGCTTCTCCTACCCTTTGCGCAGCAAGCGCTTTACCCAGATGCAGTTTCTCATAAGCAGAGAGGTTATCTGTGGTTACAATCTTGATTGCCCAGCAAATTGCTGAATGCTCGAGGAAGCAGGAGGAGAATGTGCAGCTGCAGGGTATGTGGGTTTTTCATTCTGTTTTACAGTGAGGACTGGAGGTTGAGTGTTTAAGACACCTCAGGATCCTGACACCCTTTATTCCAGCGTTGGACTTGCATGAGCTGCATTCTGTGCCAGGAGGCCACCCCTGGCAGTCTGGAATAGCCGTGGGAGTTAAATAAGCTGCTGTTTGCTTCAGGTGCTTTGGATTATGAGACTGGCAAAGACCTGCCACCCAGCCAGAGGCAGATCCAGACACTATGTGAAGTGAACAGGATGGCATGACTTTGTCTTTGTTGAGGGAGTGAAGGCTACTGTACTTCAGTTACGGACTATTTTCTTCAATCCTCCAGTTTTCCCTCTCTCCCCCACCCCTTCAGCAAATGTCACCTGCCAGCTAAAGGGCATGGGCCTATGTATATGATCAGTAAGCATAACTGTATGTTTGGTGTCAGAGCCCTTTGTCCTTTATCCAGCTGCAAATCTGCTCAGCTCCATGTGATGCAGCAAGCACAGGGATTTTCGGCTTTTGTTTCTACCGTTTACAAAATGTGGGGGGAAAAAAAAAAAAAAAGGGAAAAATCCTTATAAAACTAGAGTAATTTACACAAGTGAACTGAAAACTTGCAGCAGGATCTGTCAGAGATCTGACGTGGTCATCTGTCTAAACGGGATGTTTACTCACATACATGTGGTGATTGTGCTGTTCAGTTTTCCATATAGCAAAGAAAACGGAAGAGGCTTTTGATGATTGAGATTTCTTACTGTCATGCCAAAAATAGGTGGCCTTTGAGTTACCCCATTATTACTTCTCTCTAATTAAGAATTGGTAATTCAAACTGTGGCATGTGGGACACGCACCCTAAGTGCCCACCTGCAAGATTGCACATGACCAAAGGATCTGCTTGTCTGTGCAAGTTTTTGTGAGCAGGGGACTTCCTTGGGTGATTGGCAGAGGCAAAAACCTAACGCATACAAGAGAACTTGGAAGAACCGTGGTCTCCCTGTGCTTTTGGATCTCGACCTCCAATTTGGAGTCTCCAGCTAGATGCTTGCCTTTCTATTTCCTGGTGACTGTTTGAACAGCATGTTTAGGTGGAAAATGTTTGCTTCCCAGTCTTGAAAATATTGATCTAAGGGAAAATCTTGCACAAAAGGATTAAAAAAAAGTTGGAAAAGTTAAAGTGTGTAATACTGTAATTAGGGCTGAGGGAGTATAAAAACTTAAAATCAGTTTAGCACATCACTTGACAGATGGGAAGGCATTTATATAAATTTAGGGAAGTGGTAGTTGCATTCAGTTGGTCTAATTTAAACACTATTTGTAATTATTTTTTGTATGTGTACAGAGGATTATAGGATGGCCATTATTCTGACAGGAGGGCTCTTCATATTTAAATTTAAATCCACAAAAGAGTACCCTATTAAAATGTAAACATGCTGTGATAAGAAGCACCTAATTATGCAGATAGGTTAGTCCAGCTATTCTGGTGAACAGCTGTGTGCACATATTTCAGATAATGCTTTTTCTTACACCCTAAAAATCGCCAGCAGGGCTACTGAGAGGTCAAGAGGTGCGTGACCCACAGGCGGGAGCTCCCTGTAAGAAGGTTTGCTGATGCGGAGTGCAGATCTGAGAGCAGACGGGCTCTCACAGGTTTCCACAGAAAGCAGGCCCTGACAGCACCCAAAAGCACAGAGAGAAGATGACACAATTAACAGTTCCCCCTCCCTACAGTCTGGTGCTGCTAATCCAAGTTAAAACTCCCAACAGCATCTTTGGAGAACCTTCCTCTTTACATCTTGACAGCTTTCTCCTTTTGCCAAGAGAAAGATCATGCAGGCTTACTGGGGAGCTGCCAAATGACAGCTTGACTTCACACCTGAAAAGCAAATGAATGAAGAGAGAAGGAAAGCCTCAGCCTGCCACAAACGTCAGGAGTCCTGGGAGCGTGGGCGTGAGCAACCCCTGGAGCTGCAGCAGCAGCAGATGTGACATGAGCAGAGTCCACGCTGAAGCTACTGTGGAGGAGGGAGCATGGAGCCCATTACCAAAGTGTGAAGGTGTTATTCATCAGCTGCAGGCCCTCGGGTGAGGTGGAAGCCTGGCCGTGGCTCATTCTTAGAGGTGTGGGACAAGGCTTGGAGCTCCACACTGTACAGAGCCCTTTGTGAGTTAATTTGGTTGGCTTTTCTTCCCAGAGCCCTTGCAGCAAAGGCTCAGATCAGCTCTCTCAAAAGGCGCATTAACAATCGGGGCTGACGACCAGGATTTATTCTTTAACTACAGCAAAATCAGTATTTTTGGACATATAACTCATGCTTCATAAACTTAGCGGGTAGAGGACACTAAAAGCGAGGTTGCATGACACTCACTTCTTCAGTTCTTGTCATTTTAGGGCAGGGAGTGTCGGTATCCGTTGCAGGGAACTGCGGGTGGCCTGACACCGTGCCAGCACAGCCCTGTGCTGGAGCGTGGCTGCTAGGTGACAGAGTACGGGTGCTCTTGAGCAGTCACCCCTCTTCGCAGCACACACATCGTGGTGGTGGATCTCTAGCAGCGTGTTCTGTGATTCTTAAGCTTTTTGTGAGATTAAGACTACTAGAGCTGTAAAATATGAATTACCCTTGGCACTTTAACTGCCTGTAGAAAAATTAAAATACCCAATCAAGTAGTTGAAGTTGTGAATTTTAGCCCACATTTAAAAATGGGAGAAAAATGCTTTGCACAGGAGGGTTTTTAAAGCAGTATAATGAACACTGCGCCTGACTCATCCTTCACATGGGAGAACTAAGCAAGCTAAGAGGAAATGTCTCCAGGCAGACATCCCTCCAGGCAGGGATTTCTATCTCATTTTTCTTCTAAGGGAAGAAACTTAAAAGGACTGGCCCAAAGACTACATGCTTGCTGCCTGACCCCACCAGGTGTCTTCAATCTGTTTGTAATTCTAGACATCACCTGGAGGCCAGGCATATCTAGCTGGATGCCTTTGCAACAGCTTTCAAGGCATGAGAACAACTGTTCTCATAGCACCAGGTTGGTGTACAAGGACCACAGCACTGGATCTACTGGATCTAGCTGGTGACTACCACAGAAGTGTCTGTAAAATGAAGGCTGGCAAAACATCAGGCTGTCGTATCAAAGTATGCAAGGGATGTCAGATAACCCAGGCAGAGGCAGCAGGAGCTCTGTGGAGCCTCATGGGAACATGAGGTGAGTAATCACAGCTGCAGTTCATTACAAAGACACAAATGAGCTCCCCTAGACAAAGCTGGGACACTTCTGCTGAGAGAGCTAATCACTTTTTTTTTTTTTGGTGGGAGAAAGGCAAGTTTTAGGTTCAGGTGAAGGAATTCAGTGGGAAAGCCTTCCACATTCCTTTAAGGGTGGGCATTTTCATCACAATTGTAGAGATACTGAGTGCTTGCCCGGGACATAAAGGAAATCAGCGTTAAAGCCAGGAACTGACCAAACAGACCTCCTAACTCATGGCTTCAGCGCTGGGCTTCAGCCATGAGGCCCTCCTTCCTCTGTTTCTGCTGACCCTTCATTATACGCTTTTCTCTGTAAAAACTGAAAAGCTGACTACTTAGCAGCTGACAGTTTACCCTTCCTCTCGCCCCTGGACAAAAGCAGCTTTTCAGACAGAATCTGCACAAAAGAAACATTTGGTTCTTCCTCTGCTGCTCAGAGGAGCTGAGCAGCATCTACGTTAAAAGCATGAGGGTCTGACCCCGGCTCACACTCTATTCAAAGACAAAGCTCCAAGTGATATCAACAGATGTGGCGTTAGACCTAGGCTCTGGAAAGAGCGCTGCTAGCTAGCTGCCATTGAGTAAATTAATGCGAAATGATGAAAAAAAAGCCAAGACTTCCTAAAATGAAAACACACGTTATTATTTGGTATTGGCCCTTCGGACTAACGCTGCGGCGCGGCGGCTGGTGCCGGGGGAAGCCCCCAGAGCTACAAGACGCTCG